ACTTGGTTGGTATTTCACTATTTAATTTTTAAGAAACCTATTTTATACTAGTGTTTTATATGAGCAAAAATACTGCAGAAGTTAAACCTATGTTGTATTTTTTCGGAGATGTTTTGTTTCAAGGTAACAACTACTGAGATACTTTTTGATCAGTTTTTATATCCCAGATACAGAGAATTTGTAGAGATTATTTTTGTAATTCTAGTGACTCCTGAAAAGACCAAATGAGGGAGTGGAGGGGAAAGCACAACCATTGGGCTGAGGCGGTGGTGGCCTCGGTGTGGCCTGGGGTGCACTTCATTTGGCTGCGAACATTAAAGCACAAAAAAGTCAACCTGGAGTGGTGGTTTTGATATGGAAGTAGGTTAGCTTTTTATGCAGTAGAAAGTTTTATTTATGTAACTGAAGAGCCCACTTAGACAATGTAACATAACTTGCTACCCTGTGCAAAACAGTAACAGGCCCAGTGTTGTTACTTTGTTGAACCTAAAAGCCCTTCAAACTGCCAAGGGAGAGAAGAAAGGGTCCCACTGCCCTGGGCACCAGATGCCACTGGCTATAGAACAAATGGAAACTGCATCGTGCAATTCATACTTAAAGGGTTTTAATTGTTGAAAGCCATTGGTAATGCTAAGACTGAATATCTCAGCAGAGGCACTCTGCTGTGTCAAAGACCCAGGACTATGAAGACACCTTCCTGCAGGGGACAGTCATTTCCACCCAGAGTGGTGGGATTCAGTATCAGGTGGGTGTGGCTTCACCTCTCCCGGTCTGCCCCAGGGGCCACCTGGAAGAGACAGTGGACACCACTTCTTCCACACAGTGGGAATCAAGCAGCACGAGTGATAACAGCTTCCAGAATCAGGGCAGGACATTCTTGGGACAAGTAATATGGCTCCAGAATGCAGCTGTTTCTGTCTGGAGGAAACTCCAACTGAGCTCCCCTTGGCCAGACTGCAGGGCTCAGCCGGCCTGCATGCCTGGGGGCCACACGTGTGACCCCAGTGCCCCTCCCAGCAAGGGCAGCAAAGCCATCTGGAAAGCTGAGCCATCCTGGGCGCCATCCGGCTGCTGAGGAATTCTCAGGGAAGCTGCAGGGCTGAGACATGGGCTCCCTGGAGATGAGTTCTGCACAAACCATTCCCAAAGGCAGGTAATGTGCACCATGGTGTGACCGTACTTTTAAAAGGCTGTGCAATGCCTTAGAAACAACCTGGTTCTGTGGCACTTGTACTGGCAGCAGGCAGCAGGTTTGCTGTCCCCCAAGAGTGGTATTGTCAGCACAGAATGCTTGTTTTTCTACCTTCTGGGGCAGCGGCAGGGCCAGCCTTCAACCCAAGTGCCCCCAGACCAGCCAGCCCTTGAACAGCCATCACGCCCCTGATGTCCACCTGAAGCTCCAGGCCAACTCTGATGGGATACCCAGGTCTGGGTTTCATTCACCGTGAGGCCACGCTCACTGTTGCAGTGTGCAATTTGCAGACCTGTCCAGAGCCCCACAGCTTCAGGGGTTCACCGCTGCCCTTTCAGAACATAGGGCAGAGTGGCCCAGGCACCAGTCAGGAGAGAGTTAAAAGGCAAAAAGCAAGGCTCAGGGGCCAGCACCCAGAAAGTTCTTGAGGTGTCCCATGGCTAAAACTGGAAGACTGCATTCAGTTCACAGTGTCACTGGTTCCCCCACTGTTAGACCTGTCAGCTGGCATCTCGGTGGGGCTGGAAGCAGCTCCCCAGCAGTTAGCCTCAGGCCAAACCTAAGATTCAGGTCTGAGCTGCACCTAAGTTTTTTGAAACAAGAAGGTGGCACATCATTTCTGAAGAAGCTGCTTACCTGAGTGGCCCTCAGCAGATGTCAGGTGTTCTGACTGCAGTGGGAAGAAAGGGCGGCCGCCTCTGGCCCCGGGGTATCCCCAAGGACGCGCTTCTCTCCTTTCAGCCTGTGTGGGACCATCCCTGTGCTTCCTGCCTCCAAGACTTCGTGCGCTCCCTCCCCGTGACTCCCTTCCACGGATAATGGAGAGACCCGCAAGGGCACGGGTGTTCTCCCCACGCAGAGAGGCTTCCGTGACCGCACACTGATGGATCTGGAGAAGCAAAGCCCACGCGGCACACTGAAGGGCCTCACGGCAGGGAGCTCCCCCCCACCTAGTGGCAGGGACCAGGAAGACTGCCCGGGCGGAGGGGAGGGCGGGGACCGGGGGCCGCCCTGCGTGCACGGGGAGGAAGGACCACTGAGGAGGGAATTCTCGGGGTCAGGCACCCTCGGGGAGGCCGACCACGGACCGAAGCAGGGACAGGCCATCTGGGGGTGTTGGGGCCAGACTGTTGCGAGCAGGGAGCAAGGATAGTAATACGAGTAGGCAGACGCCAAATGCCTTTCTGAATGCCTTTGATCACACAATACACACTTCTACTGACTACCGCCCGGCACTACTGACTACCGCCCGCCCGGCAGTTGCCACTCCCTATATCTGCACAGATCCGAGGAGCGCGACTTCCTTATCCTGTAAGGTGATTCGTGGTTCAGCGTCGGCTGTGGCCAGTGCCCTCACCTCTGGGGGTGCACTCAGGGCTGGTGCCTCCAGATGTCCTGGGCGAGAGTCTTGGCTGTGACCTCGTGCAAGATCCCCTATGCGGCCAGTGGCCACCAAGTCTCCTGATCACCGAGTGCGACGAGCTGGTCTTCTGCGCCCTCTTTTATACTGTTCTTATGTCTGTGTGGCACTGATTCGGGCTTATCTGTTACATTACATTACTTCATACACGAGGGTGTTACAGGTGCTTATCATATCAGGGGGCCAACTCCTACACACACACATGTACACCCATTCTGCAGGGACTCTGCAGCGGCTTTCCCCGCTTATCAGTCTTGTTCAGTCATGGCCTCTGTCACGGCCTCAGGCTCAGTGACAGCTGTCATTGGAAAAGGATGGGCTTATCTGTTACATTACATTACTTCATACACGAGGGTGTTACAGGTGCTTATCATATCAGGGGGCCAACTCCTACACACACACATGTACACCCATTCTGCAGGGACTCTGCAGCGGCTTTCCCCGCTTATCAGTCTTGTTCAGTCATGGCCTCTGTCACGGCCTCAGGCTCAGTGACAGCTGTCATTGGAAAAGGATGTAAATTATATAATGAATTTTGCACACAATGTTTGCTCTCCACACAGACCCCCTCCGTGAAAAACCTCCAGGGCTCCCTTAGGGGAGCCCTCCGGCTGGGGTGCTCCGAGCGGCCGCAACTCC